AATACATTCCAACTTACAAAGTATGTTTCCATGTATTATACATGTTGCCATGTATTACAAAGTATGTGGTACTATGGTTTGGATGCTTGTTCCCCCAAGATCCATGTGTTAGAAACAACCCCCAGTGTGTCAGTGATGGGAGGTCATAGAACCTTAAGGAGAGGAGCCAGTGGGAGGTAATTAGGTTGTTGGGGGTGCTGCCCTTAGTAGGGATCAAAGAAGTTCCCAGGGAATCCCAGTTCCCATGAGAGTGAGTTGTTATAAAAGATCGAGATTTCCTAATTCCTAAAAACTGTCCACTTCCTTTCTTGGCAAGTGTTCTCTCTTTCTTGTACTAACTCCCACCATGATGCCATCTGTCATGATGTAATGTAGCCAGGGAGGCCCTGTGAGAGCTAGTGCCATGCTGTTTGGACCATCAGCCTCCAAAACTATGAGCTAAATAAACTTTTCTTTAGTTCCAGCCTCAGGTATTTTGTTATAGCAATGGAAAACTAACACCTCTTATTTTAGACCTCACAAACAACTAGGTGAAGTGGTTCAGGAAGTATTAGTACATTAGTACACTAACTTCAGATATTCAAGAACTCTAAGGAAAGTCAACTTTCCCTGGTAGTGAGCCAGGTCAAAGGTTTGGGTGTTGTGCCTCTAAAAGCAGAGCTTTCTTCCTAACTTGATAACCCTTATTGAAGATCAAGCAACTGCTGATGCACAGGGGCTGCAGAGGTGAGCAGGGTGTGCTTTCCTATGTGCTTTTCTTCCCTTCTCTCATGCCCCCAAAACACATCCTCATGATGCCAGCCACACTCTCATGGAAATCACTTACCAGTGGCAGCCTGCTTCAGAAACCTGATGACAATTAGTTGTTGCCTGGTTGGGACTCCTGCTTTTGTGAAACCTGTACTCAGTCTTTTGCAGGGTCACAGTTTAACAGACAAGCCTTTCTATTTTAACAATCCTCTCATCAGGCTTTCATGTATTTAGCCACCCTCCTCTGATTTCATCATCACCTTCTTGTCCATTTACTCCCACTCTTCCCCACTATTGTGCAGCTGAGTTTGGCCACTCCCACATCATGTTTTATTCTCAGCCTGAGAAAGAAATTGTACAAGGTGTCAAGCTTGGTCAATGAAGAACCTGTCTTGCCAGTGCAGTTTGGGATTTCAAGTGTACACATAACACTACTCTCTCAGCACTGTGTTTTCATCCTGGGAAGTTCCAGAAAGAAGAATTCTTGAGTAGACCAGGAAGCTACTTTCCCACGAGAGTGATGCACTGGTATTGATAAGAAGGCAATTGAATGGTGCTTGAAAGTTTACAGAAAGCTCGGTGAAGACCAGTGCTAGACTGCAAACCACAGCTCAGCTCTTTCTGGCATCCAGGCATCAGCCTGCTATTTTCCCAGGTGACTCTAAATGAGAGAGGGAAATACAGTAGGCCATTTGTCACTGCCCCAGGTGTAACACATGCATACCAATTGGTGCATGCAGCCTGCAGGCCCACTCCTGCTGCCTCATGCCTGCATCTCTTCTTCTGGGATTCCCTTCATGGAGATCAGGGCAGAATGCACTCCCTTCCCTCCTCTAGCACTTGAGTAGGGCCAGTGTGGCACATGCTTGTAATCAATCCCAACTACTTGACAAGCCAAGGAGGAGGATCAAAACTTTGAACCCACCCTAGGCAAATTAGCGAGACTGTCTCAAAATAAAAAGGGCTAGGGCTGGGGATTTAGCTCAGTGGTGCCACCCCCTGCCTTGCAAGCACAAAGGCCTGAGTTTGATCCCCGGCACCAAAAGAAAGAAAGAAAGAAAGAGGGCTAGGGGTGTGCCTTCATGGTAGAACACTTGCCTAGCATGTATGAAGCCCTGGTCCTGAGGGAAAAAAGAAGGAAAAAGAGGCAAAGAAAAAGAAAAAAGATCCATTCTTCTAGGTTTGGAACCAACTCGGCCATCCCCACTGAAATTAAGCACGCTTATACTCTCTAATCTCTCCCACTCCACTTCAATTCAAAGCACAGTCTTAGAGCTGTTGGGATGCATTGCTGGCAGGTCAGTTTCCTATCTCAAGCTTATTCTGACATGTGCTATTCAACAGACATGCTAGTGTGTTTGACTAGAATATCCCTTCAACACAGACTTCAGTCAAGTGAAGGCTTAGAGGATTTAAGGTGCAGGATTCTGCAGAAGTGGCACAAGGGAAAGAGCCAGGGTTTGCTTGGAGAAGAGATAGAGGTGCCTGATAATATCCCTTTTGCCTGTAATTACAGGCACAAAATGAGTTAAGGAAAATTCTGCATCTAGATTTTTTTCTTCTTTTTTCCCCCAGTACCAAGGCCTCATACATGCTAGGCAAGTGTTCTACCACAAACCTACACCTCCCTTAGCCTTTTTTATTTTGAGGCAGAGTCTCCCTAAATTGCCTAGGGTGGGTTCAAACTTTTGATCCTCCTGCCTTGGCCTCTCAAGTAGCCAGGATTATAGGCATGTGCCATCACTCTGGCCCTACAGTATTCTTAAGGGCATTTTATTGTGAAGTTAGATCATATGTTTAGAACTACTTTTTTTCCCTTCCCTTTTCCTGCAATACTGGGGATTAATACTTTCCTGCAAGTACTCTACCTCAAGCAACACCCCATCTCATAATTACAGGTGGATGAACATAGGGTGGCCCCACTCCTGACAGTCCTGGACCCCAGAGACACACTGTGTACCTTCCCCACCCCCTCCCTCTTCCATCAGGTGGAGGGAGGGAGACCTGGGCTCTCTGAACTGGAGATACGCAAAACCCGAAAATAGACTCTCGGAGTGTACCCAGACATAATGATTCCATTCGGCAAGAAGGCCACTATGTCTGCTTTTCCTGCCAACCACACCCCTGGCTCTTAATCTATGGCTGCCTTGTGAAGCAAGAGAGCTGTGCCAGGAAGCTACGCTTTGTGTGATTGTGAGGCATTATGAGAATTTAAAGTCATGTCAGTGGGGTTTTGTCAGGGTAGGCCAGAGGAGGGAAGTTATACAGTTTTAGAAGAGCAATGTCTTTTAACCTCCTTTTGTTTGTTGGCCTGAGACTTACCATCACTTGTTTAAAAAAGAAAAAGAAAAGAAAATCTCTCTGGCCCCAACTACAAATAAAGCCCACCCTGCCAATTCTGACAAAAAAAAAAAAAAAAAGAAAGACATCCACCCCGAAAATGTAGTCTAGTTACCTGAGTGGTAGGATTATAAGTGAATTTTGTTATTTTCCCTGTGCTTTTCTATACTTTCCATAATGTCACTTCTTGGATTCGCAATGTAAAATAAAGCAACAGATCCTATTTTTAAAACAAAACTGCACCTTAGCCAGCTGGCTGTGTTCCTTTAAATGTTCAGTGTTGTGGTCATAAAAGTGATACGGACAGGGCAGGCCTTGCCTGTGCACCCGCATCAGGCCTCAGCTGAGACCTGGTGTCCACAGTCCTTTCTCCACTGCCGGTTCTAGAGAGCTGCTGGTAGGGCAGATAGCCACCCTGAGAGGACTCATGGGAGCAAGGAGGCTAGGAGAGGAAGACTGCTGGAGGGAAGCCCACCAGAGCCCTCCGCAGCAGAGGAGAGGAAGTTCATGTCCTGTTGTCTCTGACAGTGAAGCCTGCTTGACATGTGCTTCTCAGGAAGGAAACTGTCTGCTCCGGTTCATCTGTAAACACAGCCTTCTGGCCCTAGAATGTCCAGTACATTGTCCTGGAAGTTGGAAAGATCTTGTTTTCAAGGCCTGTGGGATCAAGTAAAATGTAATAAGTAGAGACAAATATCTGGGAGGACACCACCCCTGGAGGAATTCCAGATATCCTCTTGGGGATGGGGAATGAGGAAAGCAAGATTTTTATTTAGTTGAACTTGGAACTTCGACAACCTGGGCTGATTATTGACATGAGTCAGTCCCATAACCAATCCTGCCCTTGTCTGCTGAGCCCATGTGGAGACTGAGGGAGCAAACTGGAAGAGAAAGCACACATGGGCTGGGATGCTGTGGCATCACAACATCCTGAACCTTTTTTCTTTCAAACTTCCATTTCTTATGCCCCACATGCTGATCAGTACTGATTCCAGTGGGTCTTAATGCTTTGAACTTGAGGTTATTACCCGTGTCTGCACTGAACAGATCAGGAATAGAAGTCCTTGCAGTTTATATGACAGAGTCTGTCAGGGAGGAAGGCCCTTGTCAATAATGGGTTATTTGTAATCAGTGAAAAAAATCTCATCCATTACTTCTTATGTTCTCCTGTGTGTTACATGTACCTCCTGGATTTTAGGTAGTACACAAACAAAAATAATGTGTCCATTTGAAAAAATAAAACAGCTAATCAAATTAACCATTTCATGAATAACTTTATTTAAGGCAAGCTAAAATAGGTGAACTTTTTGAAGGAAGTTAATATTGTCTTATTGTATTTTGCCATATGATGATAGTCAGGAAGGTAGGACAGTAATTGGATGATTAATGTTTGTCAGATAGTATCCTAGGATGTGCTAGTTGGCCAAATTATTTTTCCTTCTTTTCTCTCTCATTGGTTTTAATCTTCCTATCTCCGAGTGAAACTGCATGGAGAATAAATTCCTTACAAGAAAAAATAGTTCCAAACGTTTTTAATAATGATTCTAGTAATTTTTACAGAGTGTCAACAAAGACTTATTGCTTCTCTGGTGCAGAGCAGTACTGCTATCTTCTCTTCAGATCTGCGTTTCAGAGCCCTCTCTCTGTCCCCTCATAGAAAGCAGAGTTCCTGGTATTTATATACACTTACAGGCTTGCTGTCTTGTTCACCGCTACATCCACTGTTTCTTGTGGGGTGTGTGTGCATGTGTGTCTGCACACCCTTCTACTGAATGGTAACAGGATAATGTGCCATATCTGGGTTACCCTGTTATTTGTGTTAAATACAGACATGATGATGTTGGGGTCTATAGCTCTCCATTTGCTATTAACCATCTTGCCCAAGTAAACTGTTTTCTGATCTCCCCTAGATGGAAATCCTCTATCAATGTGGAAGCCATTAACAGAGTAATTGCTGTCTGTTGCCATGACAACCAGCCGCTGCAGTCACCTGCCCGAAGTCCTGCCAGACTGCACCAGTTCAGCTGCACCCGTGGTGAAGACCGTGGAGGATTGTGGCAGCCTAGTGAATGGGCAGCCACAGTATGTCATGCAAGTTTCAGCCAAGGACGGGCAGCTGCTGTCAACAGTAGTGCGGACTCTTGCCACCCAGAGGTAGTAACACAATTAAAATAAATGAATCTGTAATTGATCCAGAGAACTATTTGTCAGATGGAAAATGCTGAAGGGATATAATTAGTGCTCAGGTCTTTGTGTCAGGTGAGAGGGGCTGCTGGGGGAAAAAAAGACTACACAAGTTCTGTCATCGCGTTTCTATAGCAATAGGACAGAAAGCTAAAATTCACATTGTGTAGTGTTCTGCTTAAAGTCACACTTGCAGAGAGCCATGGAGAAAGGATCCCATAAGACATGGGGCTGCTTGCTTTACATTTGTTATTTTGACATTGCTATGGTAATTACACTCTTGTTTCCAGTAGCTAACAAAAGTCCTTTGCTAGCACAGAATAACAAAGGCACCTAGTTTCATGTGACTGAGCCAAAGTGATTGGGATGGATAGAACTTTTGAAGTGACATTCCTAGGGTACATGATGATTGGCATGGCCTGGTGGATGTGCTGCTGAGGGCCATTCCCTGGGTGAATCTCTTCTCTCCACACAAGGGCCGTTCTGTTGTCCCCTCCTTCCCCTCTGTGGGTGATCCTGACCCTTCACATGTACTCTGCCCTGGGAAGTGATGTCATTGCTAAAGCCTCCACAGCTATCTTCCCATGTGACAAACCAAAGCAAGGGTGAATGAAGGTCTGAACAGCTCAAGAGATTGCTCATCTAGGTGAGTACTTTGTGCCCAGGGTCTTCTCTTGTGCTGCTGTTGCCCAGTGGCAGATTGTGAACTCTAGGCTGCCAGGTAGTAGTATGTGTGCCTTGGTTTCTCCAGCTTTCTTTCCAAATGACTAAGTGAAACTTTGGATCTATGAATGTAAAATATGTGTCACCATCAGACTAGTTTCCCGGCATCAGTTCTGATATGTCCAACTCTGAAATTTAGGACCAGTTCCTTAACTTGACTCTTTACCCGGACCTGAGTGATCACTCAACTCCTTTGGTGCAGACACAAGCCTCCAAGTCCAACCATGTGCCTGCAGCAGAACCACTGGCAGCACCACAGCCTGGACATTGTGGTGAATCACACCCCTCCATGCTGTCAACATTATCTGCCTTCAACTTAATCTCTGTGCAATATCACAAAGAAAAGAAAGGAAAATATCTATTAGCTATTGGAACATTTACAACAATTGGTTAGGATTCAGAACACATGAGATGAGGAGAGTCATTAGCCCCCTGTGAGCTGAGTCTGGATGACTGCATGTACACCAGTCACACTGGAAGTCACCAACAACCTCAGCTGATCAGGAAGAACAGGCTGCCCATGAAATGACAGACCTATGAGCCAGTGTGTCTGTCTGCTTGTCTGTAAGGCCTTGTTACCTGCTCCCAGATAGTAATGCTACAGACAGACCTGCTACAGACAGTAATGCAAAGCAGAAGGTTGCAGAGTTTTGTAGACACATGGCTCAAAGTAAATGAAGGAGGCCAGGGGAAAAAAGTCAACTTTCTCATCTTTCACCCTTTGATTCTAAGCGAGTCTTTGAGAAGGAGGGAAGAGGAATCTTTTCCTCTTTAATCCCCTTCCAGCCTTGGCTCATTCTCAGGATCATTCCCAGAAAGGCCTTGGGGAAACTCCTGTGTTTCCATGGTTCTTTCCCTTTGGATCAAAGATAGTGTTAAAGAGAGTGATGGGGCATATACCTTGGTCACTATCATCTTTGGGGGATTTGGGGAGAGATGGGAGGGGCCAAGGAGACTGGTCTTAAGGTTGTCACATATCACGGTGGCATTTTTTGAAATCAAATGCCTAACAAAGAATAGGAAACCATCAGAGAGGGAGATGGTCTTCTGACATGACACAGCACCCATTGAGAAGTGAGGCCACCTTAATTTGATCCTTCCATTGGCCACAGACTTACATGGTGAAGGCCATGTTATTTAATTTTCTTTGGCCTGAGTTTTTCCACAAGTGACACTGGCTTACCTTAAATAGGCATTTACTGTGTACTGATCCCTATTCTAATCTTCTAATCTGGACTATATTTCTTCATCCTGACAATCACAATAGGGAAGAAACCATTATCGGTGCCTATTTTAGAGCTAGAGACTAAAGGTACAGGGAGATGAAATTACTAACTTATTTGCCCAAATTTAGCTGGCTGGTAATCCCCAGAGTAGGAGTTTGAACCCAGGCAGCTGGTTTTCAAAGCCTACACTAACTATACTACTTTGCCTTTGTGAAATGTGCAGGAATATTTTTGCCAAAATCACAGGCAGAACTCTAGACATAACTCATGCAGGTAGGACATAACCATTACTCATTTTCAATTTTTTGCCTTGACCATCCCAAAAAGCATCCTCTGAAAACTCAAAGGACCATCTGCCACTCAACTTTCTGCCTAGCTCAGTCTACAGTGCCGTGTGGCAGCTTTAGGGGTGGTTGCCATTTCACTTCCCTGGTCTCATTCTCCACCCTATTGAAAGGAACCTCTGGGTATACAAGTGTCCTGGCCTGGTTCAAAAGATGCAGTTTGTTGGACTACTATCTAGAATGTATAAAGAACTCGGAAGAAATCAGAACAACCCCCCCCATTGAAAGACCCAATACAAAAATGGGCATCTGAAATGAATAGACACTTCTCAGATGAAGAAACAGCAAATAAATATACAAAAAAATGCTCAGCATCACTGGTCACTTGTCAGATGCAAATTAAAGGAATGCTGAGATTTCACTCACTCCAAAAAGAATGGCTATTATAAAAAAATCAACCAGTAACAAATGCTGGTGGGGCTATGAAGAAAAAGGAACCCTTCCCCACTGTTGGTGGGGGTGCAGGCTGGTGCGACCACTGTGGAAATCAGTGTGGAGATTCCTCAAAGAACTAGGAACAGAGGCTCCATTTGACCCAGCTATTCCCCTGCTAAGTGTCTTCCTGAAAGAATTAAAAGCATCATACCACAGCGATATATGCGCACCCATGTTTATAGTGGCAGAGTTTGTAATAGCTAAAGCTTGGAAACATCCCAAATGCCCAGCACCTGATGAATGGATAAAGATGTGGTTTTTTTATACAATACTACTCTGCCATAAAGATAAACCTGAGACATTTCTAGCTAAATGGATGCACCTTGAGACCATACTCTTAAGTGAGATAAATACAACACACATGTAAATATCACATTGTTTCTCTGGTCTGAGAAACTGACAGTGTAAATTAGGACCAAAATGTGTACTAGATATTGTGAAATAGGAAGAAAGTGTTCAAATGAATAGGGGAACTAGGGTGGGGGCACAGGAAAGAAAGGAAGGAAAAGGAAAAAATGAGTAAAGAAGAAAAAAATGGAAACTAAAGCTTTTGAAGTAAAGAAGGGAAGAGAAGTTGAAGGGAGCAGAGGGGAATGCGAAAAAATAATCAAGATATATCTATCATATACAGGTGCAAATTCCCTATGATGAATGTGATCATTATCTATACCTAAAATGTACCAATAAACTTAATTAATTTTTTTAAAAAGATGCAGTTTGTCTAGAAACTACAATTGGTGTCATTTCAAAACTTCTATTCTTAATGATGAACAATTGTTTTTATTTTTTTATTGGTAGTTTTCCTGAGCTCCATCTATGTTCAAGACTAAAAATAATGTTATTGCTCATTTTCACTCACTTTTGGACCAGGCTACACTGGCTGCTTTGATTCTGCCAATGCCCTATTTCCTTTTATTGTCAAAAGTAGATTGTCTGAGTGCCCTAGAGTGCCCAGGACCATGCCTTACTGCCAAGGTCAAGTGTAAACACCTAAGGGGTCTTTAAGCAAGTGTCTCTTTGAGCAGTTGCCACTCTGTGCCCAGAGGACACCAAGCTAAAGGCCATCCGCTTGGCAGTGAGTCACAGCCCGGTGACCAGCAGATGCCCCTCCTTCTTTTGCAGCCCCTTCAATGACCGGCCGATGTGCAGGATCTGCCATGAAGGCAGCAGCCAAGAGGACTTGCTCTCTCCATGTGAATGTACGGGGACCTTGGGGACAATTCATCGGAGCTGCCTGGAACACTGGCTGTCGTCCTCAAACACCAGCTACTGTGAACTCTGCCACTTCAGGTTTGCAGTGGAGCGAAAACCCAGGCCGTTAGTGGAGGTCAGTAAGTGGGGCACGTCCTGAAAACTTAGCTCTAATGAACAAATGATGACTGCTTTTATGGCCAATCACAAACCCTGTAGAGCTTCACTGAAGCACAGTAATAGCTCCATGTGAGTGTGTGTGTGTGTGTGTGAGAGAGAGAGAGAGAGAGAGAGACAGAGAGAGACAGACAGACAGACAGACACAGACACAGAGAGGGACAGCTGGTCAGCTCACTCTGGATCCAGCAGTAGAATGGTGACCTCCACAAAAGTGGAGCAAGAAAGAAGATACTAGTGTAAGAAGAATGGGGAAGCTTCGTGTTGTGGTCTCTATTTTTCAGTCCCTGTGAAGGAGAACGAAGATCAAACAGGTTTCTCTTTGCACACCATCTGTTCACTTGGAGCAATGTCCAAATGGACATTTGGGTTGCATATCCTGAGAAGTCTTCATGAGAAAATACTGTATAGCTGTGTAGTACAATGGAGTTAAACCCAGACTTCCTGGGCTCTGTGACCTTAGGTAAGTTACCTCATCTATTGGAATCACTACAAGAATTAAAGGAGTTAATGTGTAGAGAACACTTAATATAGAACATTCTCTTTTGTGTATTAGGAAGCCCAGGATTCTTCATTAGGCTCAGGATCTGGTCTGCTATCAAAGAAATTGGGAATAAAAATTACTAGATTATTTCTGCCCTCTTTCCTACCCTTAAATTCTACTAGTTAGTAAAGACTGAATATTGGGAATAATAAATATATTAATATATTATGAGGTGGAGCTACCTGAAAGAGGCCAAGACATTGTGTCTGCAATCTAGACCTGCTGATAATCTTATTTCAACAGCTAGTGCAATGAAACCCTGGAATTAGGGCCAGAACTAGGAATTGAGAACCCCTTCTTGAAGTCCATTTCCTAAGTGTATTAGCACTGAGGTTCTTAAAGCTCTAGAGAGCTCTTTATATACATTCTCTTGGTTTTGACCTTGATAATTTAATCAGGACCTGTAACTGGAGCTTGTTTTAGCAATGGCTTACTTGCCAAGTAGCACAGAATTTATTTGACTTGTTCCAGTAGGCTCTATGCTTTTCTTAAGAGACTGGATCAAGTGACCTCTTAATTTAGCCATCTTGCCACTTGACATTGGATTTCAGAAATTCATATTGTAGAGTCCCTATCAAGAATTTGGTCCTATGCCAGGTTTGCTGGGGTTTGACATTGCAGAACCCCTCTGCAAAGGAGGAATTATAATTAAATAATTAACAAAGGCAATGAAGATTTCTCCAGCCCAATGGCAAAAGTAAAAAGAAGTCTATTTCTTCTTTCCAGAAACTTTTTGGAATTTCTTCAATTTGATAATGTAGCCTCTCCAGGGAAGTTGGCTTCCCAGAGTGGGGGAAGTTCTGCTTTTGAATGGATTCTATCCAGCAGTCTTCTTTTCTGGTATCCCAAGTAAAGATGACTTTTACTTCAGCTTGGTAAAAATCCGTGTTTATACACATAATATGTAACAAGTGCGGGTGCGCATGTGTGCACATGTGCACGTGTGCACAGGCCTTCGTCTTTCTAATAGTACATACTTGTCCCATCACCAGGGCACCCTTTCAGTCTCAGAGAGGGTGACACAGACCCCACACAGGCTTTTTCCAAGATGCCCACATTGGATCACAGACTGACTCCAGGATCTTAGGCAACTGTCACTAAACAAGGAAACAAGGCGAATGACCTTGAGAATGTGTGAGTTGTCCTACAAGATTTAGGGCCTTGCCTACAAAAACTTCACCCAAACAGTCACCGGTGTTGAAATTTTCATTGCACAAATGGAATGTGACAATTTTCCAAGTTAATGATGATTGAACAAGTTGAAAGTGAAAGGCAAACCTTCTAAGGCTGGGGGAGGCTGGTCGTTTGATCATCCCATGGCAAAATGAACTTGCTGTTTGACCACAAGCAATAAAAAGTTGTCTTTGGTTTCTCAGCTGGAGGACAAATGAGAACCAGGTGTGGGCAGATTTTTTAAACAAATGACATTACTAATTGACTTTTTCCCTCTTACCAAGGGCAGGCTTTTTTTATAGTGAGCATTGCTTCTCAATGTTTTTACCTTTAAATAAACTTGAATCTTTTTCTAGCGTATCAGCCAAACCTGCCTATTTGGGTTAAGGAGTATTGTTACTTTACTTTTCATCTTTATTCTTTTAATTGCTTTAATCATTACTTTGTTTATTAGTTGGATCTGCCTTCTCATTAAAGCAAGAAAATTCCATAACATTTAATTTTAAAATCAATGTGACAATAACAGCTCTTGTTGCTAGCGGAAGCAGTTTTAAAAGTCATTTATAAATTTTATTTGTCAGCATCTCAGTGCTAACATTGGTGGGAATTGCTTTAACTCCTAAGACTTGCATTTCTCAGTGATCCCTCTCACTGGCTCATTCGGTGCTGTCCTTATACCTCCTGTTTCTAAGCCCCTTCCCTTTACTTCTTTTCCATGTTCTCTGCAGCCAGCAGTGAGATGTTCATTTTTCCCTAGCCAGGAACCTAGGACTGTTGCTTATACATGGGCTGCTATGTGAAACCTCTTTTTTCCACATAAGGGCAAGTTTCTTTCCATAGTGACCAAACCAATAGGCTGATTTTATTAGAACCTCTAACTGCGCATCCCCTCCCCACTTTACCACTGACCATCTGTGTGACCATCTGTGTGGCTCAACTCAGTTTCTCCCAAGCTGCCCTGTGGAAGAAGGTGAACAAGCAGCTCTCTGTGACATCTCTACAAGGCTATTGGCCTTGTGTTTTAAAGAATACATTCTATACTTAAAATGGATATGTTGAGTAGTATGTAGTTTATGTCTCAATAAGTTGATTTTGTGTGTATGTATCTGTCTACTTAGCTATTTACTTGCCTACCTTCCTACATGGCCAGCCTAAGACTTTTGCTTTCTTTTGGTAGGCCCATTACAAATTGTATGCCCTAAATATTTTCTTGCTGCAGAGTAAGCTAATAAAACAAAAGCTAGTTTCAAACCTAGATAGCTACACTGCAATCATCTAGCTTAGTCAGATGTGGATGAATTTCTGCTGTAGTTCAACTAATGCAAATCTCATAAGGTCTGTGTCCAATCATGCAAAATTTGAAAGGAAATTATTCAAAATACACATAGCAAAATGGGAAAACAGTTAAAACACACTTGCATTTCACACCTCCAGAGCAAGCACTTCTCTCATGGAGTCTAAGTGGTTTTTGTTGATGGAAAATTGTACCTAGTGGTAATTTGTAAGATGAATTATCCCCAAGAATAATGACCCACTAGAACATAGTAAATAGATATCCACTAACCATAAAAGGACTCACTGAATGACTGGACTGGGTGGTTTTATGGTCTTCTTCCTGCTTATTTTTAGTTTTCCTCATTTCTCTTTGTAAGGTGAACTCTGATATCTTCCTTGTATAACAAAGGGTAAAATACTGCAAACCAATAAAAGTACCATGATTCACTCCCTGAAATGAGTGTCTTGACTCCAGCCTATTGCCAGGATTGCATTTCTGACTGACCAGCTCACCAAGGAACACCATTTTGCTGTGTGCAAATAATGCACTTGTATCGTCAATTTCTAGTGATGGAATATTTACCACAGGCTTCCTTAGGACAGATATGTGCATCATCCACCCTTGCCTGGCAACTCATGAAGTTACGGATCAGCTCAACAATGTTGTGATTAAAATGAAACAGCTATGAAACTGTGGAAATCTGGAGAAAAGGCTTTGTAGGATCTGAGGATCTGATCTTCCTCTGATGAGAGAAACATGATGATTTTTCACAGAGGGAATGATTAGGTTTCTGTATTCCTATTTCCTTTACATAGACCCAGCTGATTGATAAGAACTATGTGAACAGTTTAAAAGCTGTTCCCTGTGAGTCAGAGGTTTAGCTAAATTGAAACTGAGAGTGGTTTCTCACATATCAGTTACACAGAATAATAGGATGTAAAGCTAAAGAGATGAGGATTAAGAACTTTTTATTAACTTTTTACATTTATGATTATTTTAAGTCACTAGAAGGAAATGGTTTGAAAGTGTGGCCTCTTTTCAGTGTAATCTCCAGCTGCACAGCAGGGAGAAACTACACACACTGAGCAGGGAGAAGAGCACATGGAGAAACCACTTTGTACCTTGGCACTTGCTGTTTAATAAATTTGAGAACAAATTCAAATAAATATATATATATACACACATATATATATATCATATCTGTGGCTTAGGGAAACTGCTGGACTCTTATCATGTTTTATTTTCTTTTGATTTTTAATATTTACCCAAGTACAAACATGAGCTTTTGGTTTCAGCATACTCACTTTCATCCAAAAGCTTTGTCCCATTGTGGATCATCAGGAAATTATGCCATGGGGGGTGTGAACTGATTCGAGAGTCCCAGGTCCTCCCTTTGACTCCTCTTAGGGAGGCAGACAAGCTTCTCTTCATTGTGACCCATGAGCAGAGCTCCATGACTAAGGTGGCTGCGCTGTCATCATAGCATGTGATAGGTGCATTTTACTAGACCAGTTTTTTGGGGTTTTTTCATACTGGGGACTGAACACAGGGGTGTACTCTACAGCTGAATTACATCTCCAACCTTATTTTTATTTTTTATTTATGTTATATTACTTTAATTTTGAGACAGATCTTGCTAAGTTGAGCAAGTAGGACTTGAATTGGGATCCTCCTGCCTCAACCTCCCTCAATGATGGAATTATAGGCCTGTACCACTATGCCTGGCTTTGAATCAGTACATTTTTTATTGAGGAGTCTGGATGCTTTTTAGGTGGGACATTATTCTGTAGTCATTCCAGGAAGCCTTGCCTTTTGCTTACACCCACCCATCCTTCTTCACTTGCTTATGTGGCCTGCCTGCCATTTACACTTGAGATTCCAGGGGTAAGTGATTTCTCCCACTTTTTTTTTTTCCGGTACTGGGAATCAAACTCAGGACCTTGCACTTGCCAGGTAGGCATGGCAC